CACATGGGGACAAAGATCGTACTTTTTGGAGAAATGTCCTCTGGTCTGATGAAACAAAAATAGAACTGTTTGGCCATAATGACCATCATTATGTTTGGAGGAAAAAGGGGGTTGCTTGCAAGCCAAAAAACACCATCCCAACCATGAAGCACGGGGGTGGCAGCATCATGCTGTGGGGGTGCTTTGCTGCAGGAGGGACTGGTGCACTTCAAAAAATAGATGGCATCATGAGGAAGGAAAATTATGTGGATATATTGAAGCAACATCTCAAGACATCAGTCAGGAAGTTAAAGCTTGGTCGCAAATGGGTCTTCCAAATGGACAATGACCCCAAGCATACTTTTAAAGTTGTGGCAAAATGGCTTAAGGAGAACAAAGTCAATGTATTAGAGTGGCCATCACAAAGCCCTGACCTCAATCCTATAGAACATTTGTGGGCAGAACTGAAAAAGCTTGTGCGAGCAAGGAGGCCTACAAACCTGACTCAGTTACACCAGCTCTGTCAGGAGGAATGGGCCAAAATTCACCCAACTTATTGTGGGAAGCTTGTGGAAGGCTACCTGAAACGTTTGACCCAAGTTAAACAATTTAAAGGCAATGCTACCAAATACTAATTGAGTGTATGTAAACTTCTGACCCACTGGGAATGTGATAAAATAAATAAAAGCTTAAATAAATCATTATCTCTACTATTATTCTGACATTTCACATTCTTAAAATAAAGTGGTGATCCTAACTGGCCTAAGACAGGGAATTGTTACTAGGATTAAATGTCAGGAATTGTGAAAAACTGAGTTTAAATGTATTTGGCTAAGGTGTATGTAAACTTCCGACTTCAACTGTATGACAGGACACAAAGTTAACAGTTTGCCTTGAGCCTAATCTATACCTAGATGTTTCAAATTAAAACGGCCCCAGGGGACCCCTATTCACTGATTCAATGTCCAATTTGGTGTTAGTAGGGCCCCTCAATAGCATTGCCCCCAAATCGCTAAGTCCTCTGTAAGTTGGCCAATATAGAGCACTCTCTGAGGTGAATGACCTCAAATCAAATCAAATTTTATTGTCACATGCATATATTTAGCAGACGTTATTGCGGGTAGGGCTGTTGCGGTGACCATATTTCCGCCACACCGGCGGTCACGAGTCATGAAGGCAGTCAAAATCCACATGACCGTTTGTCACAGTAATTAGGCTACTCCCAGCTCTGATGCTGCTGATGGTCATTAGTAGCCTACCAAACTTGCTAACTGCCTGGTAATCAGCACTCTATTGCCCCTCTAATCACTCTGACATCAAATGTATTCGAAAATCTAATCGAACACTTCATGAGAGCCCATGAGCTCATGTTGCGCAACATTTCAATAGGCTATGCAATTGCACGAGAAAACAGAGTGATGGCCTCTACTGAAAAGAGGAGGTTAAGCTTTCTATAGGCTAGGCCTACTATATTTATTTTTAAATGTTCCTAATATTAAGCACATTGCTTATATTTACAACAGGAGTATAGCCTACCTGGCTGGCATGAAAATAAACCACGGGGAAAAGCATCCTCCATTCGCTATTTAAGTGCATAGATGACATGTATTTTTTCCCTGCTGACCCTGTTTCGATACAGGTGCATGATAATGGTCCATTCTAAATCAAAACACATTTCACACATATTATTTAGTATATGTAAAGACAAGATTAAATCAAGAGTAGTCTGATGGGTGACAATATTAGCCTATCACTTGTGAAGTATATATTATCACTTGTGGATGATGCCCAGCATAAGAACAATGCCTTTTTTTGCGACTTTTTCTAATCATAGTCGCAACATATATCCTAGCCCATAGGCCTATATGTTTTAATAAGGTTTGTATCACAACTGAAGTGGCCAAATAACTTCTTAAAATTAAGCACATGAATCTGCTTTACAAGGGGTGTAGAGCCTAACTGGCATACATAAGCAGCGTGTGAGTTTCAAGTTTGGGGAAGATAATTTTCACCATAAAAATGCACCTTTATAATAAAAGCATTACATGCATAATCGTATTTGCATCACTTTTGATAATGGTGTTTTCCCGCTAATGGAATATTCGCGCTTAACGCCTACTGCCGTGTGCGCATTGCTGCGCTTATAATGTGAAGAAATTGCCTAATAGCTAAACGTTCTGAACTGTGTCAGCCCCTTTGCGTAAAAATGTTTTTTTTTTATGCTAGTGGTTGTATTAATTTGGGATCTATCGTATCCCACAACTGTCCCAGACTATGTTAGGAATATTTATTTCTTGCACAAAATAGGTCAACTTTTGTATTATGGGGGATAGTAGATTGACATAGGCTAGTGCTTTTGCTGTTCGTTAGGCCTACTCATCTTGTTGGCTGATGAAAAGTAAATGTGGACAGTTCTTCCAATATCTTCAATATGCACCTTGGAATTGGAGAAGGACGCGTGCAGTTGCGTCCCTGATGTGTCGGTCTTCACTTGTAGCCTGTGAGAAAGACCTGATCACGTGATGGAGAGCCGTGTGAGTGAGAAGTGCTTTGGAGCGGGCAGCATTTAGGGAGAAAGGCTGCAAAAGGCATGGATTTTTTTAGGGTGCATTATGACCACACAAAGGGGATGCCGCTGGGAAATTAGAGGCATTATCAAGTGCTTCTCAAATTGTGAATAGAGACTGACGAAGTGTGTACAGCCTGCGCAAAAAACTAAGCAGAGCTCATGCCTTTCAAGCAACTTTTTAAAAATCATCATTAGAGTCGCATCATGCAGCCTTACAATGTATTACAAATCTAAACATATAGCCCAACGTTTGTAGAACAACTAAAGTTACATTAATAACTCTAAATTATGCATATAGGAATACCTATTTCTTTGTTAACCGCTCAACACAGAATATCCTTTCTATTTTATTCAGCTTTGTTCATTTGTGTTCTTCATACTATAAAATAATGCCACGGAATTCTAAGCAAATCTTGTCTGCTAAATGAACTCGTGTAGCCCACAGCCATTTGGCATAGCCAGATCAGGACAACTCAGAATATGCTATTCTGTTCTTCTGAAATAGACTACATTTTCTTACATTTACATTTTAGTCATTTAGCAGACGCTCTGGAGAGCAACTTACAGTTAGTGAGTGCATACATTTTCATACTGGCCCCCCGTGGGAAACGAACCCACAACCCTGGCGTTGCAAGCGCCATGCTCTACCAACTGAGCTACAGGGGACTACACACTTCATATCATGCTTCTTTAGACCTGTCTAAAATAAGTAATAGATTTATTGTGACATGTAGGCTATATTACATGGATTTATTAGACGTTTTAAAATGTAGATGTTCCAAAGGTCAGTATCAGTGGCTTGTAGGCTATGTGTGGAAGCCAGGAGATGCTAAATGTGTTTATGTTAATTAACGGTCAATTACCATGAGAACGACAGCTATTTGCTTGACAATCACCAGCTGACGAAATTTAGTGACCGCCACAGCCCTAATTGCGGGTGTAGCGAAATGCTTGTGTTCCTAGCTCCAACAGTGCAGTAGTAGGCCTATCTAACAATTCACACAAAACTAAAAGTAAAAGAATGGAATTAAGAAATATATAACTATTAGGATGAGCACCTTAGACCCCTGATTAAGTTATGTAAGGTATCTCAAAGCAAGTGCTCTCAGACTTGTCTATCAATCAAAAGCTATTGTAATGTATTTATGTATTTTCCATTATATAAAGTCCATTGTAATGGCGGGTAATACATTATATTTTCGAACTATTTTAATATGTCTCTGAGACTTCCCCTACCGCTCTCCAATAAGTTTCTTCTTGCACAAGTCTCACAGCAAGTGCACTTCTGAGGGGTAGACACAGGGGGCAGCTGATTGGCAGTCGGATAATGTATTTATGGTTTAAATCCCATACGAGGAAGTTTGTAGTAATAACAGAGACAACTCAAGCTTTATACATATGTACATCATTATTAACCCCTTTCCTTGGGGGACATGGTAGCAGGATACAATATACAGACGGAAAGTAGGGAGATTGAGAGAGAGACAGAGCTCTAGTCCATCATCGGCATGACTAGTTTTTGTATATAAAAACCTGTAATTCTACTCATAATCCTATCTAATTCGTTAGCTAGCTTGCTCAGTTTACATATAGCATGGTATTTAGCTCGCCATCTGTCAGTCAATCGCAGGTGACTGCATTTCTTCTAAATCCTGCGACGCCGACGGTAGCACTTTGACGTGACAGGCAGACTGGTTCTCCTCCGCCACCGTGGTGGAAGCGTTGCTGAGTGCCCATTGGCTAACGAACGGCCATGGCGTGAGGCATTGGTCTTGAGTATTTCCCCCGAAGCAATATTTAGGTTCGCTGCGGGACGTTCCAACTCCGCCGCCTTATTGAAGTTGAAATATAAAACGGTTTAGGTCAGGTTTAAGGTTAGGGTTAGGTAAGGGTTATTGGTGCTTAAGACAACCGGGAACTCGGAAGAAAACAAGGTCAAATCATGAAGTCAGTGATTGTCAGGTCGTAAAGCAGAGCTCTAGAAAGATGCCTGAGTTTCCGACTTTGAATTCCGAGTTGGACGGCCATTCAAAAATATTTTTTCCAGTCGGAGATTGTTGTTTCCCCTAAGTCGAAGTCGGAGATTTCCGAGTTCCCAGTTGTTTTGAACGCAGCATATGGTTAGGCTAGGGATGTCCCAAGGATCATCAAATGGCACTAACCATTCTGCAATGGAAAATCTACTTTCCCTTATTTAAAGGCCCCGTGCCTGTCAAAAATCATAAGCACGTGGTAACAATTAGTAAAGGCCAGTGTGTTCACTCATAGGTAAGGACGTTACATGCAATAGTGCTAGCTATTTCAACATGTTTAGACCTACTGGAATATTAAGTGCAAGATGTAGGCCTATGGCTCACAGACACACCTATATCTAATGTTATTAGGATGAGTGAGGGTAGACAGACTAGTAGTCAAACAACTAGGCTATCATTGCACAGCTGTCTCTTGCAGAAATGTTGACCACTTCTCAGGGGACTTCATTGCTGAACCCATTGGTGATAAACCAGTGACTGCACTGTCAGGAATTGGAGAAGTCTTCGGAAAGAAAATGGAGGAGCAAGGTTTTGACAAAGTCAGTAAATTCATTCCTTTTTACTAGCATACATTCTAGACTAGATGGCTACATTTGCCAAATTAGTTCAATTACATTTTGGGGTGTCAGAAATGGGCAGTTCTCCCAAGTTGTCAAGGAGTTGGCCTCGGCAAATGGGGACTTTTAGGCCCCATTTTAAAAAGGTCAAGTGTTTTCGTTGATGGATTTTCAATCCTGGTTCTACATGCACATGTTTGTTCTATCTCTGTAGCACCAACACGCCTGATTCAACTAATCAAGCCCCTGATTCACTAATCAGGTGTTAGTGCTGGGCAAGAACAAAAAAAGTACACCACTGTGGGTGCCCAGGACCAGGATTGTTTTGATTTTCCACCATGGACAGTAGCCCCACATCGCTGACCTGCACTCAGAGGAGGACCACTGCAACAAAGTAATATTTCCTCATTTAGGATAACTGCTGCATCTCCTATTTTTAGGCCTTTGCGGTCCTGGGACAGTTCCTGCTGCTGCGGAAGGACGGGGAGCTGTTCACTGAGTGGCTGAAGGACACCAGCTGTGCCCACACCATTAATGCTGCATCCTGCTCCCATTGCCTGAGCGAGTGGTGTGACGCATTCCTATGAGACTGGGGATATGCTGCTCCCCAATGTCATGTTGAAGATATACAAATTCTAATATGTTTTATAGTGAAAATATATCAGTGGTGTAAGCTACAGCTTGATGGTTTGTCTAAGCATAATATGCTAATAAAGGTGTTAAATCTGTAAATTGTTTCAATTTGTTTTATCATTCAAAATACATATATGCCTTCAATACACCAGTTCTTGATTCTGAACTGTATACAATTGTACAGACAATAACATTTTAGCAATTTGACATTTTAAAAATACCAAATATGGAATCGGTCATGCTCCTTCAAACTACACCAGTACCATGTGTAACATTCCTTTATAAGTACAAAACAATCACACCTGCCAAAAGATAAAACTAAAACATCCAAAGGCGACTGGTAATATAAACTCACATTTTGATAAAACTTTGAAGAACAAGTACAATCACTGGGGACATTTTCCCAAAGCATACTTTGCAGCACAGAATCACTGGCACGTCATAGCAGTGGCGAGTGAAAGGAGAGACTGGCAGCTCACTGACTGCGGATGGACTCGATGTAGTGGAAAGTAGCCCCCAGAGCCCAGCTAGTCTCCACTTCATCAATCTTCCTTGCCAGCTGAAAACACACACAAATCTTTGGCCGTCCGATGCAGACCCATGGAAATGCACAGCCTCAATGCAACACTCTCACAGTTGATTTCGAATGAATGATAAATGGCTTATTTGCATTTGGTTCTTACCTTAAATACTTTATCTTTGGGAAAACCAAGCTCTTGCAGCATCCCAGAGATGTAGGTTAGATCCAGACAAAGGAAAGGATTCTCTCCTGGATTAACCGCCATTCCGTTGCACACTGGGAGAAAGCAAGACATGCTTATAAATCAGCATCCAATATGCTGATTTCTTCCAAGTATTCACTCAATTCCAATAGAACTTGGATTACTTATTTATTAAACGTGTGAATGCGATGAGTCGAACGTTGATGAATAGGGATAAGTCATGTTTCTATTCAAATTCAGTTCAGTAGCAGTGAACCACATGCAGTACACAAAACTGCAGCATGAGAGCGCTGTCTTACCTCTCTTGGCAGCATCAATGTAATCGCTGACTTTTATAGTCCCTCCTGTTTTCTCATCTGAGTGAGAGGGGTGATTAGAATTAGAATAGAACTACATTCAGTTACTAAATGAAGATATCATTATCGATAACTGAGCAGCATATTAATTTACACCAACTGAAGTGGCAAAAGGCAGGTAGGGTTCCTACCAATAGCTCCCAGATCCACAGCTCTGTCATAGTAGTATGAAAAGGCATAGAATTCCATATCTTTGGCTTCCCCTGCCTTCTTCACCTTCCTATACAGCATCTTCTCCACTTTCCTAAGGCATGACTCATAAATGGGCTCTCCTGAAACAGAAACAAAACTGTTTATACACAATAAATGGTCAGATCAGGCACGGTCTGACAGGCAATTCATTGTTCATTAACTGACGTAACAATTGGTACTTAGCAGTAGTAATATTCATGTTAAGTTAGTTATTAATCCCTTTTTACCATACCTGCCTTTTGGCCCTTCACAGTATACAGAACTTCTGCATGCTCCCATTGGCCAGAGTATTCCGGGGCCAAGCAGGGGCTTACTAGCTCTGTGCTGATATCCTCTACTGTTGAAAATAGAACAGAGAGAATGCACATTTAATTTTGACCTGACCAACATAGCTTATGTTTTGGTACACAGTCGGGATATATAGGAAAGCTATGGCTGGAGAATGCTACATTTTACGAAAATAAACAACAAACTAATGTTCGGACTACAATTTCCACTCTAAGTATAATGCTGTAAGGGGACACAGCATCTGAAATTGCTGTGCTCCAACAGGTTTTATGGCTATTGGCCCATCTGGTGGCACACTAAAGCAACCCTATAACCAAAAATGCATTGAGAGAACATTGAGAATAAATAGATTATACAACAAACAAATGTAAAGAAATCGGATTAAAATGCAAGTGTATAAAATGCAAATCCCCATGGAGAACTGCATCCGGGGCATTCGACTGATGGTAGTTCTTAAAGCCCGGCATCAACTAAATCACAGCAACAGCTGGCATGCAAGGAATTAATCTTGGCCCATGTTATTAAAAGATTAGATAATGGCTTATTTATCAGGACGGGGAGGGTCTTTAAAAGGCAACGATGAAAGCAAATTGAAAAACCACATACAAGGCTGTCCCTCGATTCCTCCCAAGACAGCTAGTCTTGCCGACATCAAGCCTAGACCAAGGTAGCTGTGCAAGAAAGAAAGCAGAATCAGTCTGTGACACACAGAAATGAGAGGTATGTGTCTGAGAGTGTGTATAGTCATACAGTTTGTGCAACATGCAAAAAACATTTTTTGCAGGGTCATACACTAACCTGAGGACAGAAAGAATAAACCTGTTTCATTGCACCTCTCTGAACAACAGCACAGAGAGGGCTGCATTTCAGGAAAGCAGGTAGGGCCCCCCACAGTGCCAAATACTAAACTACAGAAGGTATCATAAGTATTCACCCGCATTGGATTTCTTCATATTTTGTTGCATTACAAAGTGGGATTGAAATAGATTTAATTGTGATTGTTTTGTCATTGATCTACACATAATACTCTATAATGTCAAAGTGAAAATCAAATTCTACAAATTAATAACTAAAATATAGTCGTTGCATAAGTATTCATCCCGTTTGTTTAGGCAAGCCAAAATTAGTTCAGGAGTAAAATGTGGCTTAAAAATATATATATCACATAAGTTACATGGGCTCACTGTGAAATAATAGGAGTTTACATTTTTTTTTTATGACTACCCCTTCCTCTGTCCCCCATACATACAACATCCGTCAGGTCCCTCAGTCAAGTATTGCATTTCAAGTACAGATTCAACTACAAAGACCAGGGAGCTTTTCAAAAGTCTCATAAAGAAGGGCAGTGATTGGTAGATGGGTAACAATAACAAATCAGACATTGAATATCTCTTGAAGCATGGTCAAGTTAATAATTATTCGGTGGATGTTGTAATAAACCACCCAGATATCAAAGACACAGTCGTCCTTCTGAACTGAGCTGCAGGACAGGAAGGACACTGCTCAGGGATGTCACCATGAGGCCATTGGTGATTTTAAAACAACTACGGAGTTCAATGGCTGTGATGGGAGAAAACGGAGGATGGATCAAGATCACAGTAGTGACTCCACAATAATGACTTAAATGAGAGTAGAAAGAAGAATACAAATATTCCAAAACATGGATCCTGTATGCAACAAGGCACTAAAGTAATACTGCAAAAAAACACTGCAAAGGAATACACTTTCTGGCCTAAATGCAAAGCCTTATGTTTGGGGCAAATCCAACACAACACGTCACTGAGTAACTGCTTCCTTTTCAAGCATGGTGGTGGCTGCATCATGATATGGGTATGCTTGACATCGGCAAATCGTTTTTTCGGGATAAAAAGAAACGTGATGGAGCTAAGCACAGGCAAAATCCTACAGGAAAACCTGCTTCAGTCTGCTTTATACCAGACACTGGGAGAGGAATTCACCTTTCAGCAGGACAATAACATACAACAGAACGCCAAATCTACATTGGAGTTACTTACCAAGAAGACAATGAATGTTCCTGAATGGCCAAGTTACAGTTTTGACTTAAATCTGCTTGAAAATCTATGGCAAAACCTTATTTGCTGTCTAGCCATGATCCCAAACACACAAAATGTGAAGAAATCCAAGGGGGGTTAATACTAACGATACCCACTGTAAATGTCCCACCAAAGCTGTTTTAGCACTTAGCCTTAGTATATAAGATATTATTAAGCCAAAAATGGAAGCGTGTACTTGAGCGCATATATATACTGCCATATACATTTGTGCTACAGCTTTCATCTTAAAGCTCCATGCAAACAACAAATAAAATGGTAGGAATAATTTCAATAAAAATACATATTGACAGTTGCAATAATATAGCAATAAGTTCCCCACAATTAAATCATGGTAGAGGACGAAATAGACCCGTTAGCAGCTGGAGTGACCCGTTAGCAGCTGGAGTGACCCGTTAGCAGCTGGAGTGACCCGTTTGCAGCTGGAGTGACCCGTTTGCAGCTGGAGTGACCCGTTAGCAGCTGGAGTGACCCGTTAGCAGCTGGAGTGACCCGTTAGCAGCTGGAGTGACCCGTTTGCAGCTGGAGTGACCCGTTTGCAGCTGGAGTGACCCGTTTGCAGCTGGAGTGACCCGTTTGCAGCTGGAGTGACCCGTTTGCAGCTGGAGTGACCAGTTTGCAGCTGGAGTGACCAGTTTGCAGCTGGAGTGACCAGTTTGCAGCTGGAGTGACCAGTTTGCAGTTGGATGCACCACACCGTAGGTTTAACATAAAGAGGGTGGAGGACTTTCCAAAGAGCACAATTATCCGTCTAAACATAGTGCATGAGAGTACCTGTGTGAGTAGAGTGTGTGGGTGCTGTTGAACATCTGAAATGATGTAATGTAGTTGATGGGTGAGGTCTGGATGGTCTTCTGGAGAGAAAAACAAAGATGCAAAACATAATTGTGTGGCTTTATACATTTGCAAACAAAACATTATTACTAGAGGGTAGTGCGTACGGCCCAGTACATCACAGTACTTCACTGGGGCCAAGCTTCCTGCCATCCAGGACCTCTATACCAGGCGGTGTCAGAGGAAGGCCCTCAAAATTGTCAAAGACTCCAGCCACCCTAGTCATAGACTGTTCTCTCTGCTACCGCACGGCAAGCGGTACCGGAGTGCCAAGTCTAGGTCCAAAAGACTTCTCAACAGCTTCTACCCCCAAGCCATAAGACTCCTGAACAGCTAATCATGGCTACCCGGACTATTTGCACTGCCCCCCCACCCCATCCTTTTACGCTGCTGCTACTCTGTTAATTATTTATGCATAGTCACTTTAACTCTACCCACATGTACATATTACTTCAACTACCTCAACTAGCCAGTGCCCCCGCACATTGACTCTGCACCGGTACCCCCCTGTATATATAGCCTCCCTACTGTTATTTTATTTTACTTCTGCTCTTTTTTTCTCAACACTTTTTTTGTTGTTGTTTTATTTTTACTTTTTTTGTTAAAAAGAAATGCACTGTTGGTTAAGGGCTGTAAGTAAGCATTTCACTGAAATGTCTGCACCTGTTGTATTCGGCGCATGTGGCCAATAAAATTTGATTTGATTTGATTTGAGATTTAAACATCAGAATGGTACATGTTTTCTTATATGAACCCCAATTCCTGGGTGACCAGTTAGAGCTTATACAACAGACATCACACTGTGCTGTTTGACATCAAACAGACAAAAAGGATCTACTCAATAAGAAGAGAAAAAAACCTGCCCCAATCTGCAAACTAATTTCACCCCTACGGCGTGAACGGCTTGCCGGGAGAGTTTAAACTCTTTGAAAAGCAGTGTAATGACATGGTAAATTGGTCCTCAATCCCTCGTGTACAAGGCCTGACCTAGTTAAGGAACAAGAAATCCCCCTCTCCTCCCATCCAACAACGTTTATTTAACAGCCCTTTCGGATTAGCGTGGCATTTGCTGATTAAGCCCTAAGATGAGAGGACATCCCGGTAGTTTGTGTTACTTTAGAGAAGAGAGCTGGCTTTATTATCTACTGTGTGTGTGTGTGTGTGTGTGTACGGGCATGCGCATCCGCTATCAAACAGAGACGCCTTATTGTACCTCATCCTGGGGGGAGAAGGTGATCTGGGTGGACCCCCCTCCCAAATCCAGCATCCCCACAGTGGGTGTGTCAGTGCCGTGGAGACCCCCTGCAGAGAGAGCGAGAGGAGGAGAGAGAGAAGGGGAGAAAGAGCAGGTCGGGTGGGGGGCAGTGCCAGTGTTGTCACCAAGGAGGAACTGGGGAGGCAGCGCTAGGCTAATCCAATAACAGGTCATCAACATTTCTTGTCCAGATTAATCTCTTTTGCTGGTGTTCTGTTTATGTACCAGAATTAAGCCTGTTCTGAACATTGAGCTTGGGGCCAGGGCCCCTGAGGGTGAGGGTGGTAGGGTCAGTACAGGATGCCTTGGTCTTTAGTTCACTGAATCGTTCCAAACTAAAACATATCGTTCCAGTATCGTTTCGTAGCCCATGTATCTAGATACGTATCAAATCATCTTGAAAGGGAAAGATGCACATCCCTAGTATAGATGGTCACATTCCCACTGGAATATTTTCTCTTCCATCTAGTACACCTTTAGTCTCTATATCGATCCTTACCAATGCCATCTATGTCATTAGCAACTGACAGTAAACAAAATGTGAAAGCATCTCACCTATGAGGAAGTTGACAGTGATCCAAGCAGAGATCCCTGTGAGGAGAAAAAGAGATGGTGATTACCTCATCCCTCTTAATCAATCCTTCATAATACATGTATAAAGTGTTTACATAGTTTGTACTGAAATCATTTAAACAGTATTTAGGGGTCAACTATTTAGGTCAAATGAGGAGATTGTTTAATGCCATAATGTATTTATATAGCATAATGTTTGCACTCAGTGTGACTCCATTGCGTGCATTAGTGCCTTTAACAACCCTGTAATGACCCTTTCCTAGTTTATTGACTCAGAACTATATCATAGGAGCTATAGGAGAAAAAAAAGAGTGCTGCACTAGTAGTCATTATGACCAAATACTGTCACTTAGCTACCATACACTTTGTCCACTTTATCCCTCAGGCCTCCCTCAAATACCACTTATATTTTTTATAAGTCTGTTCGATTCAGAGAGAGAATGTGTACTCTCCACTAGGATAAGCGTGCGGGGAAAGAGCGGCAAAAATCGAACTGATAATAAGGCAGTGAAATCCGGTTATGGATCGAGCGGGAGTTTAGCATTACAGCTAAGCAATGACGCTAGAGGAATTTGTCCATTAGGCACAAAAACGCGAACTTCAAATTAATTCAATAATCATAAAAAGGCATTTTCCAAGGGTCAGGTCACCTCCACTGTAACAAGGCTGATAGACTTGGGGAAGAAGAAAACTTTTTCAGCCTCAGAAATGAATGGCAGATATTCGGTTTGCAGAGATTAAACTGAACATTATCCTACATGCCCATAATTGCTTGTATGAACTACTTTAAAAGGATTGGATTAAAATATTTTATGTATTGCTTTTGTGCCTATATCAAACATGCCTTTCAACATAAAACACCAATGTATGTCTTATTTCAATATAACAATCATATTAAAGCATCAATGCCCACGGTAATGGCAGAGAATTGAATGGTTAATGCCTGGCCAAAGGACCAGAACCTAATAGCCACAGAGACATAGCCTGTCACCAAACAGCTTGATGTTGATCAAACAAGCTAGTAATGGACCAGAGAGGGCCTCTACCATCTAGGCCGCCCCACTGGACACAGTGGACTCCAGTCCAGCCCGAACTCCATTATCTACGATTTGTATTAATTCTGCACTCCAGTCAAAAGTTTTGCTGTTATTAGTCATGGAGGTTAAAGCGTAGATTGACACGTTTAACTTGCTTTTCCATAATCTGCTAAATGCCTCTGTATGCATTGGGTAAATCAGGGTCAGGTCAAACTGAGTGACCTCTCTTGCTCTCTGAGTCAATGCAACACTCTGTGGAAAAATCCTAATCAGTGATCCCAAAGATCCAGTCCTGTGATAACTTCTGTTGCCTTAAAATACTGTATTTCCTCTAATAATGCCAATTCATCATGCAAGAGGAAAGAACATCTAGAAATTGTTATGAATTAGAAGAACTATCAAGGGATAAAAAAAATATCTACATCAAAAAGTCATACAGGTGTCCATAAATTGGCAAGGGCATGGAAAAATTGCTTCACTAAGACCCCAAAGACCCAAATGGGTGCAGTGTAAAAACATTGAATTCTAATTGGATTAAGTGGGAATCTTGCATCTATACAAAAAAATATATGTATTGTGCATGAGAAATTCTTGTATATGAAAATGTGAGTCCCACAGTATAAGACACTAGAAACACCTGCACAGGAATGACGTGTTTTGTGAAACTACAGGTGGGTGAGGGCCAGACATACCTTCATCAGTGCCATCCATTATGGACACACTGTCCCCTCTGGACAGGAAAGGAGACTCCCCAAACACCTCCCTCACCTATATAGAAATCTTAAGGTCAGTTCTTCCTCAACCATGTTTGGAAGCTGTTTTCCACATACATACTTCATGTACATGACACGATTCTTTCTATAAGGTCCTATCTGCATGAAATCAACTTTGCAATACATAAATATTACTATTCAGGAGTTGTTTCTAGATAGTACATTAATGCATATTTAGGACAAGGATGACACACTTGTATTCAATTCACACCTCTCATTGTTGTAAAAAGGGGTTGGGTGAGGGAACACTCAGCCACTTAATAGTTAAACTACAAACTAAACAGGTTTAGGGTGTGTAGTCCTTAGGTGAACCTGTTATAGGCTATTAAATGGAGAGAAAAAAAAGAGGAGGAGAGGTGGATGTGTGAAAGGAGTGAAGGATCCGGAACACTGACAGGTCATCAAACAAGCGCATAAGAGGTCACTTATGCAATTAATTCATGCCATTAATTTTTTTTATTTTACCTTTATTTAACTAGGCAAGTCAGTTAAGAACAAATTCTTATTTACAATGACGGCCTACACCGGCCAAACCCGGACGACGCTGGGCCAATTGTGCGCCGCCCTATGGGACTCACAATCACGGCCGGTTGTGATACAGCCTGGAATTGCTTTCAGCTGATGGTATTACTGCACCGGGAGGAGCACCAACAGTATGGGGTAAATTTAGACACGTTATGCAATTACAGAGCTTAGCTAATTTGTAAGTGGGCAACTCATTCTTTGACCACTGCCAACCTACATGCTTTTCCCAGCACAAATCTTGTTTTTTTCCCAGTGTAAAATCAGAAATCAGGGTGAAATGTAACAAAACAGCTAACAGAAATGCTAACTCCACAAGGTGAGAGAGTGGGAACTGTGCAGTGTTTGTGGTATGGTAATCTATCTATGCAGTGAGTCCACAGACATTGGACAGTGGTGAAAGGCTCACCCTGTCCAGTAGGTGTGTGGCCTTCTCCCCAGGCAGAAGACGGAGGCCTGCAGTGGCTTTGAGGACCAGAGGAGTGCTGCTCCATACGGAAGAGGGAATGCTGCCTTGGGCCACTGCCAACAGCTCCAGGATCCCTTCTTTACACTAAGAAACAACCGACCGAGGAACCAAGAGATTAGATTTCTAAAGATAATGTCAGTGCAATAACAAGAGATGGCCTACATTTAGTATGTTGACTGTTCTTTTCAAATAGATATATGAAGTTGGTAACCTTTTCTGGGTCATCAGCATATGCAGATAGACCTGGTTTTATTGCTCTGAATGTTTCATGTGCCAATTTAGGAGCCTCTGTGGAAAAAGACAGAACAAGTTGCATGAAGCCCATTGCAGTGAAATACAGTTGACATTTAATTCACAATTTAAATAGAATTTTAGGGTGCTAATGTAGATTTGAGTAATGCTAATAGTTACCACCAAGGCAGAAAATCCATGGCAAGCGGTGTGATATTATAAAGTAGCCTACATAACACTGCCATAACAATTGACTTGTTCTATCTTGTCAGAATTTCTACATTGCTTCTGTGATGCGTATAACCTCTACTGACATGTTGCTTGTTTGTGCAAAACGATGAGGGCTATTTCAACATAAATAGCAGGTGCTTGGTAGCCATTCGAATATAACAATCATTGGTTTAACAATGAAGCCAAAACAGCACTTAAATGATTTAGCTTAATGTTGAAATAATGCGATAACTAAGCCATTTGGCGAAGCTTTACAGAAACTTTTTTGGGGGGATTCCTGGTATGGGGCAGCGTAAGCCTAATATGAGGCCTTAAATGGAGTAATGAATTAATGTGCATTTTGTTCTGCCAACATCAAAGCACATAATACAAATTAAGCCTGAAAGCCTTACATGTCTCACATGGATTCAAATCTGTAATTAATACTTTTTGCTGCCGCACATGGCTTACAAATGCTAAAAGCAATGCAGAGCACAACATTTAATTGATCCATTTTGGTCAACTACATTTGCAGATGCAGCTTATATTATTCACCAAAACAAGTCCATAAATGGATGTAATAGAGATAACATATTACTTTTGAGTTCAGAGGTATGGAGGTAACATTTCTACATTCATACTGTCTTTTCTACCTCTCCCAGTGTAATATATTTGTTTTCAACAATGCACACATGTACTGTACCGTTGTCCTCCAGTTGAAACTTGAAGACATGGATCCTTGTCCCTGTGCTCCCAGCATCAAACATAACGCCATACTGGAAACGCCTGCTGACCACTTCTGAGGAGGTTGGTCTGTTGGGACTGCTCGACAAGCCCAATCTGGGGTGGAAGTGAGGTGGTATTTTGGAGATAGCTGGCCTTACACCATCATAGTGGCGCTTAACAAGCATCAGGTAAGCTGCCAGGCAGCCCAAGAAGACAAAAACACTGGCCAACTTTGGTAACCTCATGGTGACTGGTGTGTGTAAGGCACATTCTGCAGTTCCATACAGAACTAAAGGCTGTTCGTCCTAAAAATGAAACAGACATACAGCAGTTAGCCATCTGATAGAGGGCTGTTAGAAAGGTGACATCACGGAGGTTTAGTTAGCTACCTGTATACATAATTTCAAACTTTTCAATACCAACACCACTAGCTAGAAACAACTGTTTTAGTACAAGCTACATAATCACTAAAGCAATTAGCTAACTAACTAACGTACACTACTAGGTACTGTAACGTTCTCCTGACCTGTGAATTTTCTTTAAGACAAGACATGGGGTGGGTTTTTCCCTTTTGAATTGCTAGCATGAAATCTTATGTAGAATAGTGTAAATACTGGCAGGCTAGCTGTCACTGTATTCTAGTACAGTAAAAGACAACAGTCAAAGTGAACAAACAAAATGTACTAGCTAGTATAGCTAGATAGCGAACTGGCTTTGTCCCTGGCTTGTTTATATTGAAGACAACTTACGTTACGAGAGCAAATCCTGTGCATGTAGCATTAATAGCTAGCTACTTATTCTGATCATTTGCATTTTCGGTGTTCATATCTGGGACGATTGTTTGAAAACTCATGTCAAATAATTAATTAGCTTGGTGCTCGAACCTCAAACCAACCCAAATATCTGTTTGATTACGTCAGCGTGTGTTTTACTGATGACGTAGGAAGAAAATGCCGCGTTCATAAACTTGTCGGAAATGTCTGACTTGCTGACTGGTTGAAGGCGCCACGTGTATAACTACAACCAGTTAGCAATTCCGATATTTTCGAGTTTCCTAGTTCCGACTAGTAAATGAACCCGGCAAAATACCAACTAGCCTCTAGAAAGGCTCACAAGTGGTTTATACATTATCTGTTAAATTAAAAGTGGCAAGGGATTATTTCCACTACCGAATGTTAGCACTACCCAAATACATTGTGACCATGGTTCGGACAATTATTTAGTCCAGATTTTGTTGAACTACCTGCCAAGTGAAGCCACACAATTTCAGAAGTAGGCTAACTTATTATGGAAAGCAAATAATTTGGCTGTGAGAAAACAAAAACAACAACTCTTATCTATTATTAGAATCAGTTAAACATTATGAGAAATAGTATGAGAAACAATAAACAGAAAAGTCAATCATATGACGGTTTTTGTATGTTGCACAACATTGCATCACAACTTCAATTTGTGAAGCCACATTTTTCTGTTTGTTGAAAAGGTGGCATTTCTTATATCAAAGTATAGGGGCGCTAGAACTGTACTAGCAGGATGTACAGTTACATGTTTGATGTGACCTCTATCATTCTACCTGTAAAATTCAAATAATATTTTAGTTCAGAAGAGAGTTTATGATTTGTTTGTGTAATCGACTCTTTGATTTCAATTTAGTTGATTTTAACAGATTCACATACTCTCTTTCAATTACTTAAATGTAAAATGTAGTTTTCTATTTGTCAAAAACCTTTCCAATATTTTCACATTCACTGTTACGCATATTCCAAAATTCATCATTTAGCATTTTAGCTAATTAGCAACTTAGCAACTACTTACTACTTTTTAGCTACTTTGCAACTAATTAGCATGTTAGCTAACCCTTCTCCTATCCCTAACCTTAACCCTTTAACCTAACTCCTAACCCTAACTTTAACCTTAACCCTAACCTTAACCCCTAATCCTAACCCCTAACCTAACTAACTTTAGCCACAAAAAAAATGAAATTTGTAACATATTGTACAAATTGCAATTCATAACATCATGCAAATTCTAATTCGTAATATATTTACATTTACGTCATTTAGCAGACGGTCTTATCCAGAGCGACTTACAGTTAGTGAGTGCATACATTTTCTTTCATACTGGCCCCCCGTGGGAATTGAACCCACAACCCTGCTCTGCTCTACCAACTGAGCTACACGGGACTATCATACAAATTGTAATTTGTAATATAATGCGAATTGTAATTTGTAACATATCATACAAAATGGATGATGGACATCCACAAATTAGACATACCATACCAAACATAACATATCACACTAATTTGTGTATCCCGGATTTTCGCTTACTATGTTATGTCTACCCCTGAGTCCAGGTTTCATGAAAATCTGTAATAAGGGATCTTTACATTTATTTATTCTTTAGGGGGTAGATCAGCTTTAATATTGCAGATAGATTGTAACTTCCATCAATGTAATTGTCTGGATAAATTCCAATCCCCCATATGTTTTTTCTTCTTCTCGCAAATATATATATATATACAGTGAGGGAAAAAAGTATTTGATCCCCTGCTGATTTTGTACGTTTGCACACTGACAAAGACATGATCAGTCTATAATTTTAATGGTAGATTTATTTGAACAGTGAGAGACAGAATAACAACAAACAAAATCCAGAAAAACACATGTCAAAAATGTTATGAATTGATTTGCATTTAAATGAGGGAAATAAGTATTTGACCCCTCTGCAAAACATGACTTAGTACTTGGTGGCAAAACCCTTGTTGGCAATCACAGAGGTCAGACGTTTCTTGTAGTTGGCCACCAGGTTTGCACACATCTCAGGAGGGATTTTGTTCCACTCCTCTTTGCAGATCTTCTCCAAGTCATTAAGGTTTGGAGGCTGACGTTTGGCAACTCGAACCTTCAGCTCCCTCCACAGATTTTCTATGGGATTATAATAATATAATAATATAATATATACATCCATTCTATGGGGATTAAGGTCTGGAGACTGGCTAGGCCACTCCAGGATCTTAATGTGCTTCTTCTTGAGCCACTCCTTTGTTGCCTTGGCCGTGTGTTTTGGGTCATTGTCATGATGGAATACCCATTCACGATCCATTTTCAATGCCCTGGCTGAGGGAAGGAAGTTCTCACCCAAGATTTGACAGTATATGGCCCCGTCCATCGTCCCTTTGATGCAGTGAAGTTGTCCTGTCCCCTTAGCACAAAAACACCCCCAAAGCATAATGTTTCCACCTCCATGTTTGACGGTGGGGATGGTGTTCTTGGGGTCATAGGCAGCATTCCTCCTCCTCCAAACACTGCGAGTTGAGTTGATGCCAAAGAGCTCGATTTTGGTCTCATCTGACAATAACACATTCACCCAGTTCTCCTCTGAATCATTCAGATGTTCATTGGCAAACTTCAGACGGCCCTGTATATGTGCTTTCTTGAGCAGGGGGACCTTGCGGGCGCTGCAGGATTTCAGTCCATCACGGCGTAGTGTGTTACCAATTGTTTTCTTGGTGACTATGGTCCCAGCTGCCTTGAGATCATTGACAAGATCCTCCCGTGTAGTTCTGGGCTGATTCCTCACCGTTCTCATAATCATTGCAACTCCACACGCACCGAACCTTGAGATTTACAGTTATTTTGTGTTTCTTCCATTTGCGAATAATCGCACCAACTGTTGTCACCTTCTCACCAAGCTGCTTGGCGATGGTCTTGTAGCCCATTACAGCCTTGTGTAGGTCTACAATCTTGTCCCTGGCATCCTTGGAGAGCTCTTTGGTCTTGGCCATGGTGGAGAGTTTGGAATCTGATTGATTGATTGCTTCTGTGGATAGGTGTATTTTATACAGGTAACAAGCTGAGATTAGGAGCACTCCCTTTAAGAGTGTGCTCCTAATCTCAGCTCGTTACCTGTATAAAAGACACCTGGGAGCCAGAAATCTTTCTGATTGAGAGGGGGTCAAAAACTTATTTCCCTCATTAAAATGCAAATCAAATTAGAAATTTTTTGACATGGATTTGTTTTTGTTATTCTGTCTTTCACTGTTCAAATAAACCTACCATTAAAATTATAGACTGATCATTTCTTTGTCAGTGGGCAAACGTACAAAATCAGCAGGGGATCAAATACTTTTTTCCCTCACTGTATGTATATATGTCATGCAATAAAATGCTAATTGTTTACTTAAAAATCATACAATGTGATTTTCTGGATTTTTGTTTTAGATTCCGTCTCTCACAGTTGAAGTGTACCTATGATATAAATTACAGACCTCTACATGCTTTGTAAGTAGGAAAACCTGCAAAATCGGCAGTGTATCAAATACTTGTATTAGTCAGCCACCAATTGTGCAAGTTCTCCCACTTAAAAAGATGAGAGAGGCCTGTAATTTTCATCATAGGTACACGTCAACTATGACAGACAAATTGAGAAAAAAAATCCAGAAAATCACATTGTAGGATTTTTAATGAATTTATTTGCAAATTATGGTGGAAAATAAGTATTTGGTCACCTACAAACAAGCAAGATTTCTGGCTCTCACAGACCTGTAACTTCTTCTTTAAGAGGCTCCTCTGGCCTCCACTCGTTACCTGTATTAATGGCACCTGTTTGAACTTGTTATCAGTATAAAAGACACCTGTCCACAACCTCAAACAGTCACACTCCAAACTCCACTATGGCCAAGACCAAAGAGCTGTCAAAGGACACCAGAAACAAAATTGTAGACCTGCACCAGGCTGGGAAGACTGAATCTGCAATAGGTAAGCAGCTTGGTTTGAAGAAATCAACTGTGGGAGCAATTATTAGGAAATGGAAGACATACAAGACCACTGATAATCTCCCTCGATCTGGGGCTCCACGCAAGATCTCACCCTGTGGGGTCAAAATGATCACAAGAACGGTGAGCAAAAATCCCAGAACCACACGGGGGGACCTAGTGAATGACCTGCAGAGAGCTGGGACCAAAGTAACAAAGCCTACCATCAGTAACACACTACACCGCCAGGGACTCAAATCCTGCAGTGCCAGATGTGTCCCCCTGCTTAAGCCAGTACATGTCCAGGCCCGTCTGAAGTTTGCTAGAGTGCATTTGGATGATCCAGAAGAGGATTGGGAGAATGTCATATGGTCAGATGAAACCAAAATAGAACTTTTTGGTAAAAACTCAACTCGTCGTGTTTGGAGGACAAAGAATGCTGAGTTGCATCCAAAGAACACCATACCTACTGTGAAGCATGAGGGTGGAAACATCATGCTTTGGGGCTGTTTTTCTGCAAAGGGACCAGGACGACTGATCCGTGTAAAGGAAAGAATGAATGGGGCCATGTATCGTGAGATTTTGAGTGAAAACCTCCTTCCATCAGCAAGGGCATTGAAGATGAAACGTGCCTGGGTCTTTCAGCATGACAATGATCCCAAACACACCGCCCGGGCAACGAAGGAGTGGCTTCGTAAGAAGCATTTCAAGGTCCTGGAGTGGCCTAGCCAGTCTCCAGATCTCAACACCATAGAAAATCTTTGGAGGGAGTTGAAAGTCCGTGTTGCCCAGCGACAGCCCCAAAACATCACTGCTCTAGAGGAGATCTGCATGGAGGAATGGGCCAAAATACCAGCAACAGTGTGTGAAAACCTTGTGAAGACTTACAGAAAACGTTTGACCTGTGTCATTGCCAACAAAGCGTATATAACAAAGTATTGAGAAACTTTTGTTATTGACCAAATACTTATTTTCCACCATAATTTGCAAATAAATTCATTTAAAATCCTCCAATGTGATTTTCTGGATTTTTTTTTTCTCATTTTGTCTGTCATAGTTGACGTGTACCTATGATGAAAATTACAGGACTCTCTCATCTTTTTAAGTGGGAGAACTTGCACAATTGGTGGCTGACTAAATACTTTTTTCCCCCACTGTATGT